ATTTTTTCCACATGTTCAGACGGAACTGCCTGTGTTTCAGCTTGTGCCCCTTGCCCCTTGTCCTGTCACCAGGCACCACTGAGAAGAGCCTGACCCCATCCTCTTGCCACCCACTCTTTAGATATTGTAAGCATTGATAAGATCCCCTCTCAGTCTTCTCAGGCTAAACAGACCCAGGTCTCTTATCCTTTCCTCATAAGAGAGGTGTTCCATTCCCTTGATCATCTTCATAGCCCCCTAACTGGACTGTTTCCAGTAGTTCCCTCTCCTTCTTGAACTGGGGAGCCCAGGACTGGACACAGTACTCCAGATTCAGCTTCACCAGGGCAGAGCAGTGGGGGAGAATGACCTCCTTCCACTTGCTAGCTGCACTCTTTTTAGTGCCGCCCAAGAGGCCGTTGGCCTTCTTGGCCACAAGGGCACATTGCTGGCTCATAAGCAACTTGTTATTCACCAGGACTCCAAGATCTCTCTCTGCAGAGGTACTTTCCACCAGGTCAGCCCCAACCTGTACTGGTGCATGGGATTATTCCTCCCGAGATGCAGGACCCTACACTTGCCCTTGTGAAATCCTTCCTCACTTTGTTGTGATGGATAGAACTGGTGTCCTGTGTCTTAACAGCACATTTTTCCCCTTTTGGCACATCAGTGGCCTGAGTGCAGCAACAACAGGCCCAATGGCCCTGATGAGCCTCACCTGGGGTTTCTCACACCTCCCTCTTCCCCTTGACCCAGGGCTCTATTTAAGCTCTCTCCTGAGGGATTGACCCTTTCTTCAGGTGGCTGGCAGGAGCATAAGGCTCCAGTTCTTCTGCAGGTTTGCCTCTGCCTGACCATGAGCCCCCTGAATCTGGAGCCTAAGTTTCCTACTGATTTCCCGTCCTCTCCTTGGGTCTGTCTGGTCATTCTGGCTCTGGTGAGCAGTCAGTGGGCTCCCTTGACCCAAGTGACCATCATTAGATCTTCTGACCTGTGAGCTGACTGCCCAGCTTGATTACCATGTCCTCCTTCATCACCATGAACCTGATGCTTGAGCTGGACTGGCTTCTTCTCTCTACTGTCTCTGCATTTTTCCTTGCTCAGGTACCATGCATTGGAATATTTCTTCTTTTACTTCTGTGTCATTTTCCCTGGAAACATTTTGGTCTTTAATACAGTCACTTGAAAGGAGCCTGTGTGGCTGAACAGGCACGTCATGAACAGGGAAATGAAAAGGCAGCGTTGCAGGGAACATAAGCAGTGTCCCCATTTCTTTAATTGGGATGCTTTGCATGCAAGATGAGCTTGTTGGTGAACACATTACCTGTGCCAAGGCTGCCTCTAGGGCCCTGGGGTGGTTTGGACCAGTATAAAAGGCAGTCCAACTGTAGGCTTCCTCATCCACTTCTCTTGCCTTCTCCTCCTCGGTGAACAAGGTGAGCTGCAACCATCTCTGCCTCTTGTTATTCCCTTATTCTTTTCTTTGCCTTTTGTCTTTGTTGAAGCTGTTGCTGAGCACCTTAAACTTGTATCCCGCTCTCATTTTTTCTCTTATTCTTGTTTTCCATGGTGGCGAGAGGGGAGTAAGTATTCTCCAATTCAGCAGGGACTCCTTCACGACTGTGGCTCCTAATAGCCTCTTCTTCCCTACAAACCCTGTCTCTGCTCTCTAGTCTTTGCCTTTTCTCTTCCCTGGAAGGCTGTCAGGCTGCACCTCAAACACTGCCTGTGCTTTCCCTGCCTTCTCTCCCAGGTGCACCTCCATCCCACAGCCATGTCCTGCTACGATCTGTGCCGTCCCTGTGGCCCAACCCCACTGGCCAACAGCTGCAACGAGCCCTGTGTCAGGCAGTGCCAGGACTCCCGGGTGGTGATCCAGCCCTCTCCCGTGGTGGTGACCCTGCCCGGACCCATCCTCAGCTCCTTCCCCCAGAACACCGCCGTGGGATCCACCACCTCCGCTGCTGTTGGCAGCATCCTGAATGAGGAGGGAGTGCCCATCACCTCTGGGGGCTTCAACCTCTCTGGCCTTGGTGGCCGCTACTACGGCAGAAGGTGCCTGCCCTGCTAAAGCCGGGCTGGACGTCCAGTGAGTGCATCGACCAGGAAGCCCAAAGCCAGGTGCCGGACTGAGGACGGAGCTGGTGGCCAGGGTTTCCAGATGGGTTGTGCCCCTTTGTTCCCTCCTGCAAAGGAGGGAGGGAAGCGAGGTGCCAGCCTGTGTTGTCTGGAAACATGGCCAGCTGACGTCTTCTACTACTCCTGCTTTCTTCTCCACATCATGAGTCCCTGTTGTCTCCTGCTGTCCTGTGCCACGGGTTCATCCTGAAGCAAGTCGAGAGCCATCCAGCTCATCTTCCAGTCTCCAAGTGTCTGCGAGGAAGCCGTGTGTCCGATTGCTGTGAAGGGGTGCCTGACTGCCAGCTGCCCTTGTAGCAGCCTGGACCGGGTCCCTTCCACCATGTGCTGCTTTATTTCACTCTTTATACTCATTAAAGTCAATGTTGCATTGTAGCTTGATGTCTCCTTGTCTTCCTTCTCATCTAAGATCTGAGATCTCATGTCTCTCTGTTTCCCCAAGCCCATTTCTGAACGACTCAGCAATGTTGGCAGAGCACCACAGTCCCTGCTGGGGGTTTTGCATGACCTGTGGCCCAAGACACTGAAGTGAGGGCATTTAATAAGTCCCTCTTAGTTCCTTGCATACCAGAGAAAGGAGGGAAGGGAAACCTCCAGGATGCACCCGTTGAGTCTTCCTGCCTTTCTGCCCTCAACTGCAAGACCACAGACATCAGGGAGGGATGTTACCTTGTTTGTTTGTGGTGTTGTCATGTAATTGGTGTGGTGAACTCCACCGGAATGTGGTGGCTGCTCCTGTCACAGGGGATGTAATAGAAGACAAGCTGCCTATCCCTTCCTCCTTTATACTCTTGTCCTCCACAGGTGATGTTTTGTCCCATGGCCCCCAGCCCTGCTTCAGGCAGAGTGAGGGGCACCTCCTGTGCTGCCCCATACTCTGTCCGAATCCCTACAGTGCCTTTCCCCAGAGTGAAATTCCTGTCTATGCTGGGGTGGGAATGGGATTGAAATGAACCTCAGAGGGAAAGACAAATTTTGTCCTTATGAAACAAAGTGAAGCTTCTTTCTTAAAGGACGAAGTCACAGAATCACACAGAATTGTAGGGGTTGGAAGGGACCTTCAGAGATATCCAGTCCAAGCCCCTGCCAAAGGAGGGTCACCAAAAGCAGCCTGGACAGGAATGCCTCCAGGCGGGTTTTGAGTATGTCCAGAGGAGACTCCACACCCTCTCTGGGCGGCCTGTTCCAGTGCTCTGGCACCCTCAAAGGAAAGAATTTTTTCCACATGTTCAGATGGAACTGCCTGTGTTTCAGCTTGTGCCCCTTGCCCCTTGTCCTGTCACCAGGCACCACTGAGAAGAGCCTGACCCCATCCTCTTGCCACCCACTCTTTAGATATTGTAAGCATTGATAAGATCCCCTCTCAGTCTTCTCAGGCTAAACAGACCCAGGTCTCTTATCCTTTCCTCATAAGAGAGGTGTTCCATTCCCTTGATCATCTTCATAGCCCCCTACTGGACTGTTTCCAGTAGTTCCCTCTCTTTCTTGAACTGGGACTGGACTGTTTCCAGTAGTTCCCTCTCCTTCTTGAACTGGGGAGCCCAGAACTGGACACAGTACTCCAGATTCAGCTTCACCAGGGCAGAGCAGTGGGGGAGAATGACCTCCTTCCACTTGCTAGCTGCACTCTTTTTAGTGCCGCCCAAGAGGCCGTTGGCCTTCTTGGCCACAAGGGCACATTGCTGGCTCATAAGCAACTTGTTATTCACCAGGACTCCAAGATCTCTCTCTGCAGAGGTACTTTCCACCAGGTCAGCCCCAACCTGTACTGGTGCCTGGGATTATTCCTGCCGAGATGCAGGACCCTACACTTGCCCTTGTGAAATCCTTCCTCACTTTGTTGTGATGGATAGAACTGGTGTCCTGTGTCTTAACAGCACATATTTCCCCTTTTGGCACATCAGTGGCCTGAGTGCAGCAACAACAGGCCCAATGGCCCTGATGAGCCTCACCTGGGGTTTCTCACACCTCCCTCTTCCCCTTGACCCAGGGCTCTATTTAAGCTCTCTCCTGAGGTATTGACCCTCTCTTCAGGTGGCTGGCAGGAGCATAAGGCTCCAGTTCTTCTGCAGGTTTGCCTCTGCCTGACCATGAGCCCCCTGAATCTGGAGCCTAAGTTTCCTACTGATTTCCCGTCCTCTCCTTGGGTCTGTCTGGTCATTCTGGCTCTAGTGAGGAGTCAGTGGGCTCCCTTGACCCAAGTGACCATCATTAGATCTTCTGACCTGTGAGCTGACATCCCAGCTTGATTACCATGTCCTCCTTCATCACCATGAACCTGATGCTTGAGCTGGACTGGCTTCTTCTCTCTACTGTCTCTGCATTTTTCCTTGCTCAGGTACAGGCAGCGTTGCAGGGAACATAAGCAGTGTCCCCATTTCTTTAATTGGGATGCTTTGCATGCAAGATGAGCTTGTTGGTGAACACATTACCTGTGCCAAGGCTGCCTCTAGGGCCCTGGGGTGGTTTGGACCAGTATAAAAGGCAGTCCAACTGTAGGCTTCCTCATCCACTTCTCTTGCCTTCTCCTCCTCGGTGAACAAGGTGAGCTGCAACCATCTCTGCCTCTTGTTATTCCCTTATTCTTTTCTTTGCCTTTTGTCTTTGTTGAAGCTGTTGCTGAGCACCTTAAACTTGTATCCCGCTCTCATTTTTTCTCTTATTCTTGTTTTCCATGGTGGCGAGAGGGGAGTAAGTATTCTCCAATTCAGCAGGGACTCCTTCACGACTGTGGCTCCTAATAGCCTCTTCTTCCCTACAAACCCTGTCTCTGCTCTCTAGTCTTTGCCTTTTCTCTTCCCCGGAAGGCTGTCAGGCTGCACCTCAAACACTGCCTGTGCTTTCCCTGCCTTCTCTCCCAGGTACACCTCCATCCCACAGCCATGTCCTGCTACGATCTGTGCCGTCCCTGTGGCCCAACCCCACTGGCCAACAGCTGCAACGAGCCCTGTGTCAGGCAGTGCCAGGACTCCCGGGTGGTGATCCAGCCCTCTCCTGTGGTGGTGACCCTGCCCGGACCCATCCTTAGCTCCTTCCCCCAGAACACCGCCGTGGGATCTTCTGCATCTGCTGCTGTTGGCAGCATCCTGAGTGAAGAAGGAGTGCCCATCACCTCTGGGGGCTTCAACCTCTCTGGCCTTGGTGGCCGCTACTACGGCAGAAGGTGCCTTCCCTGCTAAAGCCATGCTGGGTGTCCAGCAGATCAACCAGGAAACCCAAAGCCAGTTGCTGGTCTGAGGACAGAACTACTGGCCATGGTTTCCAGATGGGTTGAGCACCCTCATGTCCTCCTGCAAAGGAGGGAAGTAAGGTCTGTCTGAAACATGGCCAACTGATGTCTTATTCTTGAAATTCCTGCTTTTGATGACTTCCCTTGCATCTGTTATTTTGAGTTTCACATTGACACGGTGTAATGCTGTACTTTTAAATGATCAGTGGAGGGGTTTTATTCAGGAATTTAGGAAAAGTGGAGTCTTGCTTGCTGTCTTTCAGTTGGAATGGTTTAAATGGCTTCTTTCCCTTATATAAATATATATATATTCCTTTTGTTTTGCAGAATGCTCCTTGACTTTTTATCATTAAACTGATGTTGCATCTGAATTTGAGTTTTCTTGTGGTTTTCTTCTCCCTTTTTTCATCCCCTTGGGGAGGAATGTGTCACTATATGGAAAATCTATGTAGAGTACCTTCTCCATGGAAAATGTGAATAGTCACCAGAATCAACCTCATAAAAATAATTTCATCATTGTTTACACACTTTTGAAGCACTGAACAGTTTTACATATATAATTCTTTTGTTATTTTTTTTCTAAAATTTTTTCCACGTGTGCGTAGAAGTACAATTTTCGTATTTCAGGTTGGGAGAGTTCTGGTCTTATCACCTATTTGGTACCTCTGAAACTCTGAGAATTTGAAAGTGTGTAATAAGGTTTTTCAGAAGGAGTATTTGGGTTTCTGTATTTGCTGAGATTGAAAACTGCCAGACTCTGAGGCTTTGACTATGACACGCTGTGAGTGATCTTGACTCAGGGCTTCAAAGGTGAAGTGAGAATTCAAATCTCACCAGAGCACTGAGGCTCTTTATATGATTGTATCATTAATAAATTTTTATGATGGGCTTTGATGTCCTCTCTTCACACATTAAAGAAAATCCAATGAATCTTATTCCTTGGCTAATCCACAAAAGAACTCTCATAATATAGAGGAAGAATCATACGAGTGAAGAACTAAACAAATGGCCATAGGTATTTCCCTTAAGGAGAGTTTGGGTTTTATCCTGCTTCTCATTATCTAGTAATTTTTCTCGACAATGTTAAAACTCAGCACGTTGTGTGCAACTAAGAGACATCAAAGAATACCCTTGTCTGTAGGTACATAAGCTTTGAGAAATTTATCCAAGTTTTTAATTGTGTCAACTACTTTCCTCTCCCACTGGAGATACATGGGGTCCAGCAGGACACAGCACAGGAAAAGCAACAAGACAGTTGTGTCATTTCTGATGACTCTGACTTGTGCAGGGTTTTCCCTTTTAAAGCTCACTAAAATCTATGTGAAGATTAAAGTATCATAGTGCTGAGATGAAAATAGTGGAGACAGCAGAGGAAAGGTCCCTGGCATTTCACATTCAGTGCTGTAACTAGTCCATGTGCCCACACAGTGGTGAGAAAAGAGGTAGGTTTATTTTTTTTCAAATGTTTTACACTTATTTTGCAAAGTTATCAATGTAAGGGAAAAAATAGTTTAGAGAGAAGATGGGATATGTCCCCTTTTAGGCGGTGGCTTGAGGCAGCAAAAGCAAAGTATGAAAGATGGTAAATCAATAGATACCAGACTGAGTGGAGTCTCTGCTTAAAAATTGGTTTCCATGAGTATATTCTTAAACAAGTAATTGAAAGGACTTGGATGTCTACAAAAACACATGCTGCCCTGTTGACAGAACTGGTCTGACTGAAGTAATTATTTATTCACTCAGATCTGTGAGGAATCACTGATTGCACTCTGATGTACATCAAAGAATGCCTCGTTCTTGGTGGCAGAAGGCATCTTTCTACGATGCAAATGGATGTGGAGCACAAAGAGCACAGAAAGGAATTTCAGGAGAGTGAAATGTCTGGTTAAATGGCCTGTGTCCAACAACAGCATATCCTGAAAGCTGCGTATGTGGTGTTTGTTGTGAATGAAAAGGCTTGGACAACTACTCTCTGCTGTAAGTACCTAAGTCTGTGCTTCCTGATTTGAAAAAACAAAGCTATGTCCTGGAACAAACCATCTTCAGACAACATGGCATCATGGAGTGTTTGTGAAGGATGTTGAAGCCTTTATTTAAAGTATCATTAGAGAGGCAGTTCCTGAAGAATGTGAACATCAATTTGAAGGCCGTGTCTCCTTTGTGTGTTAAGATTGGATGGGTACGATAATTATGCATATGGATGTTCACAAATTTATGAGACTATTGAGGCCTCCTTTTTTGCATGAATTAGTTCCCACATACATTTTTTTGCAGGTGGAACCTTTTCTTGATAATGAAATTGTTTTGCTTTGTGTTCCAGTCTAGGTTCACCCTGGCGTTGCATGAGAAGCGTAGTCTAACCATTAAAAATTCTTTCATCTTCACAATTTATGGGTTCTTGTAATTTCTGGTACTTTTATACCGACTCTATTAGTGTCAGTATGAAATTATTCCAAGCCCAGCCTAATAAAGACTTTTTTTTCAGCTCCACAGCAATTTGTTAGCTTGGAGGTGTCTTTGGAGCACAATCTGCCATCACATTGAAGACATTTACTAAAGCTCTTTGTGAGCTATTCCCTCCCTGACCCACTTATGAACAATGCTAGGTAATTTGTTCACCATCTATAAAAAAAAATAAATCTCTGAGGAGATCTCCAAGGAGGGCTTCAAGCCTCTTGGATGAGTTCTTTGAGCCAATCAGACCAATCTGGAGATGAGCCGTGGTCAGGAGACAGATCAGGAGTCTTTTTGAAAATACTGCAGTGATCTCAGATGAGTTTGTTTTTAAAATATGAGGTAGTGTATCAAATAGAAGCTCTTGGATGAATAGAAGGAAGCAGAACATAAGTGTTGAAAACTTGTGTGGCTGATGTTACAATTTTTACAGGAGAAATAATTCTGCCAGTAAGCACCTAATGCTACAGAAGAATTTCAAAATACAGAAGTATTTCAAAAATGCATGTTTGCAGGTTGGAAGCATTGTTTAGGTCCAGAAAGGAAGGGAAATATTTAAGAGTGTAGGTGGACCACTTTAGGTAATATTACTAGAATATGAGAAGCAGTTTAAGAATTTGTAAAAGGTTGATTTTTGTCTTTAAAGAATTGTTCGGGGTTGGTTTCCATGATCTTAAAATACAAATGGCTTCACTTTGTGAAGGTATAAACTTTTTGGTCCAGAGGTTTTAAGGGCATCTCTTATGATAAGGGTATTAAAACCTCATCATACATCATGAACAGTTAGATAATTTTGTGAATATGCACATTGTTAATGAAAATTTTGAAGGACTTTGAAGCCCTTCTTCTCTAGAAACCCAAGACCAAGAACTTTTATTCCCCAGATATTGATGAATTCTCATGCCCAAAGTTCAGTAGCTCTTACCCAAAGAGAGGTTCAAACCCTGCAGCTTGTACAGGAGAGATTGCAAAGTAAAGTTTAAAAAAAAAGTATTAAAATTTCATATATACATTCCACTTATGCAATAAATTTCCATGAATCTGGAGTGGAATCACTGTTGTACTGCTGTCTGTAGTGAGGGAAAAAAATACAATACCAAACAGGTCCTTGTGTGGTTTTTTCCCCCAATGACTTCACAGTTAGGCTTGTGCAAGGTTAGTACCTAAAAATAGCTTAAAATTCATATGTGTCCTCAAGATGACTTGTGAAGTGCGATTCATATTTGTGGTCTGAGGTGGTACAGAGGGGAGTTATAGGTTCCTTTCATAAAAGAACTGATAAATCAGGTTTCAGTGTCCCCTTGTGCCAGCAGCTGTACCTCAAACTGTGTTATGGAGGTGTAACGGGGTGATACTATCCAAATTTGATATGATATGATATGATATAATTTAATAGTATTTTTTCTCTGAATTTCACACAGGGATCCGATTCTTTCTAATTGGAGTCAGTGGGATTTCTGGTGTGGTTTTTTGCAGGTCCTTCTCAAAACACAAAAGTTTTGTCTAAATTGTTCTTATGCTTGGCTGGAGTCGGAGCTTTTTAAACAGTGGCGGAGACCAGAATTTATTAAGGACTTAACACTCATATTCTTAATAAAAGAACACTTTTCAGTGATGAATTATGTATTGTATAAATTTTTCTGATGTTTTTCTTTATGACTAAAGTGAAATATACACTAAAGCACAAATTTTGTTGTGACTGAAAGGTGGCACTGGAATAAATTTGGTCCATAATACCAGAAGATGAGAGAAACTCGTATGACGGAATGTCTGTCAGAAGATAAGAAAATGAAAACACAGTAATAAACAGTAAGGAAAAGACATTTAATCAGTTGGAAGCATTTTGCATTCAGGACATACTTGTTGGTAAATAATTTCATGCACAAAGGATGTCTATGGTCCTCAGGCCATCTGAGATGCGGTATAAAAGGCAACTCAACTCAACGTCCTTCCTACCACTTCTCTTACTTTTTTCCTCTTTTGTGAACAAGGTTAGTTCAACTCTACTTCTCCTTTTCTATTTGCTGAATTCTTGCCTTCATAATAATTTGATCGCTGTTCTTTTTCTCTGCAGTATTTTCCTAGTTGCTGGATTGGTTGGGGGGAAGACTTTCTCTTTAAAAAGTTGTGTTTTGCTATCAGAATTGCAGGTGTTTCTGGAGCCCTGATTTGGCCATGAGGATCCTTGAAATGGTGATAGAAATTTGTTTAAATGTGGGCTTTTAGACATACTAGGTGACTTAGAAAATAATATTAATAATAATAGTAATATTAAAGAATAACAAACTGAATGGGTAGAAGACCTGTGCAAGGGGTTTGGAACTAAGTGATCTTTAAAGGCGATCCCTTCCAACTCAAACCATTCTATGATTCTATGGTTACAGAGATCAATGTGCTCAGTCATCTTTCAAGTTTCAGTATACATTTTATAGCTTTAAGGTTCTTATCCATCTTCTGTAATGTTTGAAATTTCAGCTGGGTTGGTATGAAAACAACAGTAGTTGCAAAGGTTGTGGATGTGTGTATCTTCAGATATGTCATTCAGAAAAATCCTTTTCTTTGCTGTTTATTCCATTAGAGGCTTCTCCAGTGTTCCTATTTTTGTTATGATGGATTTATTACCGGGCTCAGTGGGAAACAAGAGGGTAAAATGAATGAGATACTAAAACAAACAGCTGGAGAGCAAGGAAACTAGGAAGATTTAAAACCGAAGTTCATGGGTTTTAAAAATCAATTATGTCGAACCACAAGCTTTTGAGCTCTAAATGCCACTTTCTAAATGGAGACAAAGTTAAGCTGTATATTGAGATTAGAAGGAAGAGTCACACTGAGTTCAGCAAGATTTTTGGCTCTAATCACACATCCTCAACCTTCTCCTGCTGTAGTAGTCACCATGGACTTCAATATGATAGACATCATCAAAAAGTTCTGCTTGGTGTCTTACAGTTTTGAAATGGTCTTCCAGGGTGCAATGAAACCTGGAAGTTTAGAGAAATGGTTTCAGGGACTGTGAGGATGAGGGGAAGGAAAAATAGAGGAGGAGACTGAGCACCCAACAGACTGAGATGGGCAACAGGATACGGTGACTTCGTGTTTATTGGTGTGTTGGAACCAGACACGGGGAGTAGTGGGGAACTCCTGGCTGTCTCATGGGTGGGATGTCTGTCGACAAGTTGTCTGGGATAGATTTCCAAAGACCTCAGCTTCGAGTATGATTAACTAGATTGAAATTTGTGCCTCTTCCTAGGCAAAGTTGCAACCTGGAAAATAATTCTTCATTTCATTTTCCAGCTGCCGATTGAATTCTCTCCGTAAGTACCTTTGTGGCTTTGTATTACTCATAATTACTATTTCTACAATGCTCTGAATACCTGGGGCTGAATCTCAGTGGTGTTTTTCCAGACATACAGCCAATCAAAAAACTAAAATTAAAGTAATGATACAGGTATGTGCCCTTTTGTTCTGCTGCCAGCCATTCTGCTGGATCACCAACAACAGGGAGAGGATTATTTCAACCTCCATCTTCTTGTAGGGTATTTAAGAATTTGATTTCCTTCTCCCAACACCTAAAAGGATTCCTGGAAAGCTCCCGTTGTCCTGATGCCTGAGCTGAGCAAATGTAAGTGAAATAAGACTCCTACATTGAATTCACTTCTGGTCCTGTATTTCAGACTTCCCTCCACCCCACAGCCATGTCCTGCTACGAGCGGTGTCCTTCCACCTCCTGTGGCCCAACCCCGCTGGCCAACAGCTGCAACGAGCCCTGTGTCAGGCAGTGCCAGGACTCCACAGTGGTGATCCAGCCCTCTCCTGTGGTGGTGACCCTGCCCGGACCCATCCTCAGCTCCTTCCCCCAGAACACCACTGTGGGTTCCTCAGCATCTGCAGCCGTCGGGACCGCGCTCAGTGCTGAGGGAGTGCCCATCTCCTCTGGCAGCTCCTTGGGATTTGGGAGCTTTGGGTATTCAGGCCTGGGCAGTGGGTACAGCCGGCCCTACCGTCGCTACAACACCTACCGCAGTGGCTTCTATGGGCTGTGCTAAAGCATGAGGACCAAGCGACCAAGTGGAAGGAATGACCAGGAACGCTGAAGCACGATCCAACACAGGACTGAGCTCATGGCCATGGTTTTCAGAAGTGATGTTAGATACCCACAGCTCCAGCTCAAGTTAATGGAGCTGTGGGAGTTAGTTCATTCCCTAAAATGAGGCCCCTTCTCTTGTTATACTGCTTTATATTGTTGATCAAGTATGTAGTTCTGCTGTGTGTCACTGTATTTGATACTCCCTGGTATAAAACGTATAAATTAGACAGTAGATGGGACTTGATTGTCAAGGTGCTACACTGAAAAAAGAGCTCCATCTGTGGAATCCATCGCCATGAGATGTGCCATTATTCCCACATTGAAACCTGTTGCTTTGCAGTATTTTAATCCACTCCTTGGTATTATTAAAGTTATGCTTTTATCATATGTCCAGTCTTCTGTTATTTTTCCCTTCCCCTCCTATCTCCTTTTGAAACTGCACAGATCATCACTAGCAGACACAGACACGATATGAATGCTGTTGGAGCCACTAATTAGAGAAAAACATATGTTTAGAGCTCAAGATCAAGAAAATATTTAGTTTTGCAGCTGAAATGCATAGTGATTCTACACTGACTCATCATAATACTTGGCTTTTTTGCATTTCTGCCAAGAAATTATTCTCCAGGCTGGAAGCATTTTATGATCTAACAGAATGGCAGGGTATCTAATCTAGCGTATAATGATATTTGTTTTAAGGAAACCTGTTGTGATTCACACTCTCAGTAACTCTGACCTGGAGCTGCAGGGTGCAGAGAAAGATTTACATTTTTGTGCCATTAAATCACTGCTTGAATCCTTGGATTTGTAAAGTAAAACATGAATGGCAGCAGAAATCTGCAAGGAGGTATACACATTGCTTTTCGGGACAGAGCACAAAATTAATTATCTATTTACTTGCTATTTACTGCAGAAGTACTATGCATTTTAAGGCTCCTTATAAAAGCCTGACTGTCCTGGCTGCAGCCCTACAGAACTCCAACAAAAAGCTTGTGTCAAGGAATGAAGCATACTCACATCAAATAAATACAGGAAATTTTAGGCATTAAAACCTGTAGAAATCCTTGCAAGTAAATTACTTTTGCTGAAAGGAAGAACCTGAGATTTAAACCAGATCTGCAACAGCCACTGAAGTTATTAAAACAATAGATTTTGGGGGAAAATTGAAGAGATTCTCATGTTGGGAAGGTTCGAGGCATTCAAATTATTCCAGTTACATAAATTTTGTTGCAGCTGGTTAAATTGTCCCCAATAGTTAAATTGTTCCCAGTAGTTAAACTGCTTATGGTTTATGTACCAGTCTGGTCTCCTCCTGGCGTCAGATGAAAAGCCTCCCTCAAAGCTTCTTTCATCTAGGAGACCTGCAGGTCATTTGAATGCCTTGTACGAGTGCACTCAAGCCTCTGAAGTCAACATAAAGACGATACAAATTTCAATTCATGTAAGTAATTTGTCAGTTCTTTGGCAATTCGGTAGCTCAGCAGCCTGTCATGGGAGCACCGTCTTCCTACACAAAGGGTTTTAATTGAGTGCGTGGGACACGAAACTCCATCACTGACCCATAAGTGAGAGCTGTTATGTCCTACTTCACCAGCCATAACAATCCCCCAAGAGTAAGATCCAAAGGCTCTCAACCTTTTGGGTGAACTCTAGTTGCTAATAAGAATAAATTGGGAGAACATCAATGAAAACTTTTCCAGGCTGTTAATGAGTCTGTTTCTAAAATATTATATACCTTCCAAAAAAAACCATTTATGTCCCTAGAGGGAAGAGTGAGGAAAAGCTAGCATTCCTTGGCTATCTCAGATTATAGATGAAAGGGGAATTAATTCTCCAGGTGAGCGACTGTTTTCATCCCTTAAAATATATAAAAGGACAACAGGTAGTAAGTTGGATACTAAAGATTGTGAGTAAAGGGGGAAAAAAAAGCTCTCTCCTTTTTAGACAAAAAGAGGAGAATCTTCTTGTGGAGAATCACTAAAATATGTAGAGTTATAGCATTTTACAGAAGATGAAGGTTTGGCTTTATTTTATTTTTTAATCAATTCTGAAAAAAAATTAATAGAATAATTAAAGTTTCTGAAGATGTTTACCTGGAATTAGTTTGTGAAGTCCTTTGAGTGATCTTGACTCACAGACTTTGAAATTAGGTTATTAGCCAGGTGATGCCGAGATCTTGTCACGTACCTTGAGCATTAGGTACCACAAAACTTTGCATATTTGAGCCATTAGTGAGAAGCTCTTCTGAACTTTGAAGTCCTTTGTTCTTCTGAAGACCAAGACCAACCTGTGTATAAAGACACTCTTCATTTAGAATTAATTCCTATCTCTTGCTGGGGGATGGTGGTGTTATGATGAAAAGCCTGATTCCTGCTTTTTCCATATTTTCCATCTGTGGAAGTAGGAAAACCAGGACAGGAGTGAAGGAAGTGAAGCCAGGAATCAGGTTGGAGTGAAGCCAGGACAGGCCACAGAGGTGAAAAAACTCATGTAATGATAAATGTAGTGGAGAACTCCTGGGTGTGACTTCTATTGATGGCACAATTTGGCTCAAGCAGAGTACTGCCTCTAAGAACCAACACCTGAAAGCAATCTTTAACATGTACATTCCTACTTAATTTTATTTGAAAATTGCTGTGTATCCAGGTGGGTTGCTGAGATTTCAGTTTGGGATAATGGTGGTTCCTCAGATGAGAGACTGCACAGAAATCTTGTTGAGAATCAGAGATAGTTCATGAATGTCACAGAGTAATGAGATCAAGTAATCAAGCTCTTCCATTAAAAGTGTAATTGTTTGATTCAGGCACGGAAAATGAAGTAAAAATTTATGATTGGATAAAGAAAAGCAGTCACATGTGTTTGTATTAGCTGTGTTCAGACAAACTGGGAAAACTGTGGGTTAACCCCAGCAATTTTAGAACGTGTTTTGTTGTCTCTGGTCAGCAATTCTCACTGGTCTTAATATTCTTTAACCTTTGCAGCACTGATGGAAATTTACTGCTCTTCTCAGCTGTGTGTTTGTGTGGGATTGCAATAGTGCAGAAGTGCAAAATTTGGGAATACTTAATATAAAACTTGTCTTGTGGTAAAGCTGAGTCCTTGAAATGGAAATAATTGTGAATTGCACCCAGGACCCCACCTCAGAACTATATGATTATTCACCTAAACGAGTGAAGTCCTGAATAAGGACTATTCATCGCATACGCTCCCCTTGAGCAGTGTCTTGATGACTAAAATGAAGCATAAAATGTACATTGGCCTTAGGAAGAAACATAATTACTGCTGCAATTCAAATGAGTCACCACACTCTTCCAAGCAATTAAGTGAGTGCCCACTGGTGAAGATGAAAGCTTGGTGTACACTGGAATGTGGAGGTAATAAGGGGAGGGGAAAGAATACTGCAATAGTAAAAGAGATTTTGAAAGGAAAAAAAATAAATGGCGTTGATCAGTTCGGGGGACTTTGCATGCGAAAGTACAGATCATTAAATAATTTCATGCATAATATATGTCTCTGGTCTGCAGGCAGTCTGGAATATGGTATAAAAACCTATAGAACATAGGGCTCTTCCATCCACTTCTCTTGCCTTATTCGCCCAGGTGAACAGGTAAGTCTGAATCTACCCAGTGCCTTTTTAAATGCTAAACTCTTACTTTGATGATTGCTTTTTTTGTTGTTGTTTTGGGTTTTTTTGTTATTCTTAGTTCTGTATAAATATTGCTAGCTTTTTTCTTTTCCTTTTGGGAAGGAAAATTAGAAAGGCTTACTTCTATCAAAAAAGAAAGGCTTTATTTACTTGTGGAGCAGGGTGTAATGAGACAGGGCTTAGAGGGTGCTGGAAATACTGTCTCTCAAAACAAGCAGCTTCATGCTCCATTTCAGACCAACATTAAGGGAGTAGCTAGACAATGAACCCAGTTGGAAATACAGCCTCATCTTAAGAAACTGGGACTAGAAAAAAAAAAAAAAAAAGGAAAATAAATAAACTAAAAATATAAATGTGCTGAGTAGCAGGATCTATCCCCACGTCTTGTTTTCCAGAGGCAGATGAGCAGGGATCCCAGTAGGCTCTAGTATATTGAATTCAAATCGAGGCAGAAACTGCTTGATAGGGTATTTTCCCAAGGAAGGATTATTTTATCCTTCTTCCCACTCCAAGTTTGGCTGTTTTGATTGTAAGACGTTTGGGATCAAAGGGTACTTCTCAGCCGCTTTTCTCTAGTTCTGCAAATGCTGCTGGTTACACTGTTAGTGACTAAGTTCCAGCGTTAAGGCACTAAAGCCAGTTATGTGGCAATGAACTAGTGAAGGGCCTAGAAGACAAATCATACGAAGAGCGGCTGAAGGAGCTGGGGCTGTTTAGTGTGAGGAAGAGGAGGCTGAGGGGAGACCTCATCACTCTCTACAAAGACACTCTTCATTTAGAATTAATTCCTATCTCTTGCTGGGGGATGGTGGTGTTATGATGAAAAGCCTGATTCCTGCTTTTTCCATATTTTCCATCTGTGGAAGTAGGAAAACCAGGACAGGAGTGAAGGAAGTGAAGCCAGGAATCAGGTTGGAGTGAAGCCAGGACAGGCCACAGAGGTGAAAAAACTCATGTAATGATAAATGTAGTGGAGAACTCCTGGGTGTGACTTCTATTGATGGCACAATTTGGCTCAGGCAGAGTACTGCCTCTAAGAACCAACACTTGAAAGCAATCTTTAACATGCACATTCCTACTTAATTTTATCTGAAAATTGCTGTGCATCCAGGTGAGTTGCTGAGATTTCAGTTTGGGATAATGGTGGTTCCTCAGATGAGAGACTGCACAGAAATCTTGTTGAGAATCAGAGATAGTTCATGAATGTCACAGAGTAATGAGATCAAGTAATCAAGCTCTTCCATTAAAAGTGTAATTGTTTGATTCAGGCACGGAAAATGAAGTAAAAATTTATGATTGGATAAAGAAAAGCAGTCACATGTGTTTGTATTAGCTGTGTTCAGACAAACTGGGAAAACTGTGGGTTAACCCCAGCAATTTTAGAATGTGTTTTATTGTCTCTAGTCAGCAATTCTCACTGGTCTTAATATTCTTTAACCTTTGCAGCACTGATGGAAATTTACTGCTCTTCTCAGCTGTGTGTTTGTGTGGGATTGCAATAGTGCAGAAGTGCAAAATTTGGGAATACTTAATATAAAACTTGTCTTGTGGTAAAGCTGAGTCCTTGAAATGGAAATAATTGTGAATTGCACCCAGGACCCCACCTCAGAACTATATGATTATTCACCTAAACGAGTGAAGTCCTGAATAAGGACTATTCATCGCATACGCTCCCCTTGAGCAGTGTCTTGATGACTAAAATGAAGCATAAAATGTACATTGGCCTTAGGAAGAAACATAATTACTGCTGCAATTCAAATGAGTCACCACACTCTTCCAAGCAATTAAGTGAGTGCCCACTGGTGAAGATGAAAGCTTGGTGTACGCTGGAATGTGGAGGTAATAAGGGGAGGGGAAAAAATACCGCAATAGTAAAAGAGATTTTGAAAGGAAAAAAAATAAATGGCGTTGATCAGTTCGGGGGACTTTGCATGCGAAAGTACAGATCATTAAATAATTTCATGCATAATATATGTCTCTGGTCTGCAGGCAGTCTGGAATATGGTATAAAAACCTATAGAACATAGGGCTCTTCCATCCACTTCTCTTGCCTTATTCGCCCAGGTGAACAGGTAAGTCTGAATCTACCCAGTGCCTTTTTAAATGCTAAACTCTTACTTTGATGATTGCTTTTTTTGTTGTTGTTTTGGTTTTTTTTGTTATTCTTAGTTCTGTATAAATATTGCTAGCTTTTTTCTTTTCCTTTTGGGAAGGAAAATTAGAAAGGCTTACTTCTATCAAAAAAGAAAGGCTTTATTTACTTGTGGAGCAGGGTGTAATGAGACAGGGCTTAGAGGGTGCTGGAAATACTGTCTCTCAAAACAAGCAGCTTCATGCTCCATTTCAGACCAACATTAAGGGAGTAGCTAGACAATGAACCCAGTTGGAAATACAGCCTCATCTTAAGAAACTGGGACTAGAAAAAAAAAAAAAAAGGAAAATAAATAAACTAAAAATATAAATGTGCTGAGTAGCAGGATCTATCCCCACGTCTTGTTTTCCAGAGGCAGATGAGCAGGGATCCCAGTAGGCTCTAGTATATTGAATTCAAATCGAGGCAGAAACTGCTTGATAGGGTATTTTCCCAAGGAAGGATTATTTTATCCTTCTTCCCACTCCAAGTTTGGCTGTTTTGATTGTAAGACGTTTGGGATCAAAGGGTACTTCTCAGCCGCTTTTCTCTAGTTCTGCAAATGCTGCTGGTTACACTGTTAGTGACTAAGTTCCAGCGTTAAGGCACTAAAGCCAGTTATGTGGCAATGAACTAGTGAAGGGCCTAGAAGACAAATCATACGAAGAGCGGGTGAAGGAGCTGGGGCTGTTTAGTGGGAGGAAGAGGAGGCTGAGGGGAGACCTCATCACTCTCTACAACTACGTGAAAGGACACTGTAGAGAGGTTGGGGCTGGTCTCTTCTCACAGGTCATTAGTGACAGAACGAGAGGGAACGGCTTCAAGCTCCAACAGGGGAGGTTTAGATTGAACATTAGGAAGGAATTCTTCACAGAGAGAGTGGTCGGGCGTTGGAACAGGCTGCCCAGGGAGGGGGTGGAGTCCCCATCCCTGGCTGTGTTGAAGGGCCGTTTAGATGCAGTGCTGAGGGACATGGTGTAGGGGAGGACTTTGTAGAGTAGGGGAGATGGTTGGACTCCATGATCCCAAGGGTCTCTTCCAACCTCAATGATTCTATGATTCTATGAATGTTCAGGTCATGGCCACTTTCCCTGCCTGATGAGAGCTCCAGCTACTGGTCTCCATCACAACTGCAGTTACAACTGCACCTTCTCCAGAGAGAGAGTATGAAGGGAAACTCCCAAAGAATGGGAAAGGCCTTTGATGGTAAGGGTTAGGGCAAACATTACCATGGCTGGCGCCACAGCTCAGAGGCCAGTTGCAGAATGGGGACATCCTCCAGCAGCCTTATAGAAACCAAGAGAAACCTCTATGCTGTTTTCAGACTGTCTTCTGTGGATTTTTGATCTAATAAATCACAAAATGGTTTGGGTCAGAAGGGACCTTGAAGACCATCCAGTTCCCCCCCCTACCCTGGGCAGGGACACCTCCCACCAGATCAGGTTGCTCCAAGACCCATCAACCTGGCCTTGAATGCCTCCAGGGATGGGGCAGCCACAGCTTCTCTGGGCCATCATCCTCACAGGAAGGAATTTCTTCCTAATACCTAAATCAACACTTTTAAATTTTAAAACCATTACTGCTCATCCTGTCCCATTAGCCCTCATCCTATCTGACCACATTCTCTAGGTATTTTCACGTATATTATCCTATTACTTGAATTTTATAAATTTAATACAGCTTTTTCATTGCATTTACTTTCTTCCCTGCATTTCAGACTTGATCCTATAGCCATGTCTTCCTATGACCTGTGTCAACCCAACCCCTGTAGCCCAACCCCGCTGGCCAACAGCTGCAACGAGCCCTGTGTCAGGCAGTGCCAGGACTCCACCTACGTGATCCAACCCCCTCCTGTAGTGGTGACCCTGCCTGGACCCATCCTCAGCTCCTTCCCCCAGAACACCGCCGTGGGATCCACCACCTCTGCAGCTGTTGGCAGCAACCTCAGCTCCGAGGGAGTGCCCATCAACTCTGGCAGCTCCTCTGGATTTGGGAACCTTGGATATTCAGGCCTGGGCAGTGGGTACAGCCGGCCCTACCGTCGCTACAACACCTACCGCAGCGGCTTTAGCGAGCCATGCTAAAGTGTGAGGAGCAAGCGGAAGGAATGACCAGGAATGCTGAAGCATGACCCGACACAGGACTGAACTCATGGCCATGGTTTTCAGAAGTGATGTTAGATACCCACAGCTCCAGCTCAAGTTAATGGAGCCGTGGGAGCTAGGCATCTCCTGAAATCAGGCCTTTGCTTGTCTTAGTCTTTGAATACTTCATATTTCTGATGAAAAGTATTTTTTTTTTCTGTTGCTGTAGGTGGGACTTTATTGTCTCAGTTCACAGCAGCACTGCGAAAAGAAACCCAGGATGAGAAGACATATTAGCTGTTGTCTTTCTGAATCCTAGAAATGTATACTTATACTTTTTACTTTTTTTATTCCACTTTTTGCTCTCATTAAAGTTACGCAGCATGACAATCCAAGGCTTCCGGTGTTTGCTTGTAGGAATTTTAGCCTTTTTGTAAAATTTCTTACTGTTCCTCTGTTCTATTAATTGAAAGCCACTTTTTTTTTCACATTGACTAGAAATAAGGATTTGGCTGATGACCTCTATGGTAAGAAATCGATTTACAGCCACAAAACGTTGGAAATATCGTTACAAAGTTATTGTTACTTTATATATACAAATTGTCTCCTTTGTCTAGTCAAATTAGAGGCTGATTGTGGACCCTGATTAGATACATTGTAGAGAAGCAGAAACTAGATACAGAGTCGATACTTTGTCTACAAGTACTTTTGCTTTGCTACATTTTCTTCCTACTCAGGCTTTTCGACACTGGGGTCAGATTTAAACTTTCACTTAAAGTGCTTGTTACAAAATTTCTCTTGTTCATCCGAAAGCATCTCCGGTGGCCATGATCTGAGCCAAGCGGGACCCCAAAGAGAGACATCAAGGAGTTTTTTGGGAAAGCTCCCTCTGAAAATTATATTGAGTATTTTTCGTAATTAATCCCAAGCTATTTTAAATGTAGGTTGGGAACTCATCTTGTAAACCAAGCTCCTGGTGCCTCTCTGTGGATCTTCATGGGCTGGTGCTGACACAGTTGGGTTTATGCAGAGGTACTTGTGTGCACTCTCTGGTTGGAGGTGTCTGTGGGGTTAAATGAAAGGCTGAATTTTCACCCCATGTGAAAGTCTATAATTTCAAAGTTTATTTTGAGGGGGAACCCCTTCTTTTCTTACTGGGATGGAAAGCCTTTAAATGAATGTGTGTTAATCCTGAGTCTCCAGCTCCAGACAAATGGGCTGTGATCTTTTCCTTCCTAAACGACTAATGGAAATAAATGTAAAATCAGGGAACCAGTGCGTAACTGCAGCAAAATGCAGGTGAGTGATATCTCATGGTGGAAAGAAATAATGCCTGGTGAAAAGGGTTTATGCCAATTATTATAGTCAGTCCCTTGCTCTGAGGTGATGGATTATTCATACACATTCAGCAGCCTTGGTGGCACCAAGACATCCTTCTGCAAGGAAGGTGGGTCCGATTCACAGGGCCATGGCTAGAGAAACACTAATTGCACTCTTACAATTGGAAATATAATTAGAATCTGCATTTGAAAAATTATTCAAATGTATTTAAACAATAATTAAAGCCCACCCATTTTGGGTGTGGTGTTTTTGCAGAAGTTCTGGTGAGTAAACAATTTCTTCCCTCCGGCATAAATAAATTTCTGGTGTTGTTTTCTTCTGCTCTTCCCCACTGAATTCCAGCATAACGACCCCACTACACCTGGCGCTCTGCAGCCATACTCCACAGATCTGTATGCAGTAGTCAGTTACACTTATTTTTTGACAAAAGGAGAAATCACAACATAAATTGCTTAAGCTTATTAGACCACAGTAAGACGCGAAAGCAAACCTCAAATTTTAAATTTCTTCATAACAATATTTGAATAGCATTTACAGTGAAAATAGCTGTGCTAAGGTATGAACTTTGAGGGCGATATACCTAATGATGTTCGAACACCTTTGCCTTCAGGGGAGTTATTCGAGCAGCAGGAGTTGGGGTTGTGAAGCTGAAGTCAGAGGCTCTGCCTACACCAAAAGACCACACAGATTAGGCAGACACCATGTACCACTCAGCTGCCTGGGCCAAGTCCCAATCATAGTGGGGGGGCTGCAATAAAAACATTGGTGCCACACAGAGGCAGCCAGTCTGACTAAAACAAACCGCCTTAAACTAGGAATACATCTTCTGGTTTAAGCAATAAGCCTGAAATTGTTAATAATTTAAGGGCATGAGCAGAGTCTACTCTCAGTGATGAGGAATCAGGTGTCCTAGATCATTGTGTGAATCACAAATGGCTGCGTAGGATACACAGGCTCTTGCTAATGCTGCCAATAAACATCTATATTAGCACAATTAGCAAAGAATGAGGTCTCAGATAAAAGCAACAATCAGAGCTGGTGTGAGAGGTGAGAGAAGGGAATGTCATAGGAGGGTTCTGAACTGCAAGAACTTCTGCAGATTTGTTCAACTGCTTGAAGCCTCTGAGGCATCCATTTCTTTATAATGGGCTAATTAATTACAATTCAGAATTTATTGCAGATGGCACTCTTCTTGCCAGGGAAACTTCCATTTTCTGTATATCTGTTTCTCCATGCACAGATTTTTGGGGTGACATTTGTGTCTGGAACCATGATGTGGGGATTACTGTGAGTAACTTTCCAGTTCCACTTTGATTAAGAATTTTTCCTCAGACATTTACTCACTCACAGGTTTCTCAGGAGGATCTTCTCATATAACTGAATCACATAATTATTATGCAAAAAGTTTTAATTATAATCTGAATATATAGGTCTGTCCTTGATTATACAAAAAAAAAAGCTGTGAACTTCTGATTCACTCACTTTAATTCATCTTAAAGATCAGGCCATTAAGTCATTCTGACTGTACAATAAAGTGGCTGGGATTAGAACAATAATTATTGTAATTATTTTCAGGGAAGCCTGTAGACATCTCTGAAAATGTTGCTAGATCCTTCTTTTTGCACTCATAGTCTGATTTTAAAAGTATTTTGTCTTTTCCAAGCAGATGAAGGAATAATAGGAAAAAAAAAAGATGAAAATAATCTATGGATACTGTTATGCAAACTAATTCCTCAAATAGCTATTGTAGCAGAAATGACTTTTGAAAAAACCTGCTAATCCCTTGGAATATGAAGTACTGAGGAATGACCAGGATTGGTGAAGATAAAAAAGGCAATGGCATTTTATTTTAGAATCTCTTTGAAGTATGAGATGGCTTAAACCAAACCTTGAGCCATTTTTTTTTAATTAAAGCTAAAATCGCTGTAATTCTTGCAGCCAGCAACAATGACGTAAATTTTAGAACCCAATGACTGACCTGCACACCCAAACCTTAATAATATATTATTGCAGAAGTGATAGGAGAATGCAAATATGGGTCACATCTCTTAAATTTGCACGTAATGTGGTGCTTTGCATGCCTAGTGCTTTAATAGAAGCTTCTGATAAACTTTGAAGTTCTCTGGAACCTCTGACGGAGCCAAACGAGTTTCTTTTCCCAGGGGATCTTCCCGAAGAGACTCCTAATTTAGGGCTGATTTGCATGTCTCAGTAGTTAAAGCGCTGGGAGAGCAGAACCCTCAGTACTAATCTCTGTGTCTTGGATTGCGGCTGCGTTTTACCCCTTCACTATTTACCCTGCAAATCCCCCCTGTAGATGAGGCTCAATGTCAATGTGCATCCAAAGACTGCTCTGAAGCGACAGAAAAACCAACAGCAAGTCGATTATTGAAATTATTGACACTTTCTATCTTTTTGAGACTTCTCCAACTGGTTCCCATTGGTCTCTGTAGCAGGGAAATGAATTGTACGTGATTTCTTCGGTGTTCACAGAACACGCCTGTAGCAGGGAAAGGAATTGTACGTGATTTCTTCGGTGTTCACAGCTGTGTCTTGCCAAACCTTACCTTTTGCAGAACTCTTCCTTGACAACAGTCACCATGAAATGCAACATATTTATGCATGTGGAAGTTAACCTAAAACAGTTTTTAGGGCTGAGATAAGAATAAAAGTGGATTTGTGGATGCTGTAGATAAAAAAACCGAAAAGATCAGGCCTAGAATTAGACACAGCCAGGAAAGATCCTGTATTAATAAAATGTGTCCTTCAGACTTTTCCACAGAAGTGCTATGATTTGTTATTAGCTCATTAGACTGGACTTTTAATACCCTTTTTTTTTGGTTCTTCTTCCATGACAAAACCACAATATCTTCAGTGTTTTACTAGTTATAGCTCAGCCTTTGACCATAACACTTTTCGGTTCCCCCTGACTCTCACAGTGTTCTTCGTTCTATTATCTCATTAGACTGGACTTTTAATACCCCTTTTTTTTTTGGTTCTTCTTCCATGTCAAAACCACAGTATCTTCAGTGTTTTACTAGTTATAGCTCAGCCTTTGACCATAACACTTTTCGGTTCCCCCTGACTCTCACAGTGTTCTTCGTTGTCCTTCCTTTTTAACAATATTTGTGCTGCTTCTCTCATTTTGGGGCTGGAGTTTGGTGAAAATTGTGCATGTGTTCCTCATCATTTTCTGAAAAAAGAACCCAACAAAACCCAAACTCTCCTCTTTTCCCTAAAAGCAGCTCGAATCCCCAAACTACAGGTGCTCATGGGTTGGATTACAAAAGCTGAAATTCTTCATGATTTCCAACAGCATTTACCTTGCAGAGGAGGGTACAAGGGACTGCATTATGCAAATTGTGCTTAATCTCCTTTAATGACACCAGGCAGATCCAAGAGGGTTTTGAAGGCCGAATAAATTCTTCTGAATTAATCATTCTAGTGTTCCCAGAAATTAACTGGGCCCAGAGTATTTTAAGATGAAAGGGACCTGTGGTCAGATATACATGCCACAAGATAAGGAAGTAAGGCAGTAATAAACACAAATACTGAGGCAAAAAAACATGTAATCAGTAGTGGCTCATAAATAACTTCATGCACAAAGAATGTCCCAGGTTGTCGGGCAACTTGGGACTTGGTATAAAAACCTGAGCAACCCAAGGCTCTTCCATCCATTTCTCTTGTTGACTTTGCCTCGGTGCGTCAGGTAAGTCTGAGCCCATTTATTGTCTCTTTATATGTTGAACTGCTGCCTTGATGCTTTTGTAGCTTTTGCTCACCAGTGTTGTAGTACTTTTTTTTTTTTTTTTTTTTTTTTTCTCTGGGGGGGGGAGGGGTTTTTTTTTGAAAA